TACAAATGCAAACCACAATTATTAAATATACAAAATATACAAAAATATGTATTTACGATATATGGTGTATATATTGTTGTACATATTAAAAAATAAAATTGTAGATAAAAATTATAGAATTTAGAAAGATCTATTAATTGATAAAATCATTTATGATGTGTGTATGTGTGTGTGTGGGGGGGGAGAGTGTACAATTACAAAAGAAATGAGGTTGAACTTTTTTAAGTTTGTTCTTTTTATTGACTCATCCTATGTTGTAGGTGTGTGTTAATTTCGAATTCACTTCTTTCTATACTTAATTTTTCTATACTTAATTTTTCTTCTTTTACTAGAATCTAAAACCAGCAGCACACGATGCTTTTTTTTCTGCTGGTTTGCTAGCTGAATTTGCGTGCTTGCTGAGCTTTTGTCTTTAATTGGTATATTCTTTTAGATCTAAAAATTGCCGCTGGCTTAAGCGAAGATACGTCATATATAATATCTAAAACAGAATATAAAGTAATTCGAATATTCAGTTCGATAGTTCCATTTTTTTTATTTATAACAATAATGATAATTACAGTTATATAAGTTTTAACAAATAGACAATAGATGGCTTCAATCGGCAGACTGGGTCTTTGTATCGAATAATTTTTATTTATCTGAATTTAAAGACATGCCTATCGCAAACTACGTGTCATTAATTCAATGATCTTGCAACGTAGCCCACTCAAAGCTAAATCTAAATTCAACCCTTTCCTATTAAATCGATAATCAAACTTGAAATCGATTAATCCCCGACTATTGAAAAATATTTTTATTACGAAAAATATTACTCCAGCCAGGAATCGAACCTGGATCGCTCGCTTAACGCGCGAGTGTCTTATCCATTCGATCACTGAGGCATGTGGTAATATTTATCGTAACAACTGAATAAATAATTTTTGAAATATTACCACATGCTTGTTAATAAGATAAGTAGACACAAAGCAAGAGAAAGAGAATTGTAATCGTTTCAGCTATTCAAGTATATTAGAACAAGCTTTTTATTTAATGAGAAAAGAATATTATAAATCCTTAGGATCTGTTGCAAGTCCATATTAAGCATAAGCATACAACGAGCACGAGTGAAACACGATATCTAATGTAAACATCTTATCTAGCTCGGATCTTGTCTTATCCCGCCTAGCTACCCCAGATTCCCAGAACCAACATCCTTCTTCTACAAGAATCAGACTTTGGCCAGCCTATAAAAACGGGGTTCTTCTGGGGCGCACAGCCATTATTTCTCAATTTTTCATTTAGTATTAAGCCATTTTTTTCCATTCAATACAGAAGCCCATTTATCCAGCACTATTTTTCTAAATTCTCTTTTAGTGTGGGTTAGCATTTATCAATTATTATTTCTTTTCAATTTTTTATTCAGCTAATAAATTAAAAGCGGTGAGCAAGTCAACTTTTCAAAAAAATATCCAGGCTCATTCTTCACTAATCTCGATCTTAATCGACTATCAGTAAGTCTTTTGTTGATTATAAAATAATTTCATTACAATTTTCGAATTCTCATTCCATCTTACTTAAAGTACATCTTACTACATCTCTCATTTCCTTATCCTCTTTTCACTTTACCTTCCCTTTTCTTTCTTTCTCTCTCTCTCCCCGGTGTGGACTACTTGAGACCTCATTGAAGGTCCTCGAAGGCTCCTGGTTATTTTACCTTTTCTTTTCTTTCTCTCTCTCTCTCTCCGATGTGGACTACTTAGGACCTCGTTGAAAGCCCTCGAAGGTTTTCGATTATTTTACCATTCCTTTTTTTTTCTCTCTCCCTTCGGTGCGGACTACTTGGGATCTCGTTGAAGATCCCTCGAAGGCTCCCGGACTCGTTATCTACATATTTCTCCGTCTCAATCTCTCCTAATTTCCTACCTTTACTGTGTGCGAAATTTCTCTTACTTCATTTTTTTCTTTCCCCCTGTAGTGAATCAGTAGTTGACATAGATTTTCCAGAAGTATCGCCTTCTAAAATTCGACAATCTGACCGTTTATTAAAACTACCTCGTCATCATTATAGTGGTGGAGAGGCGGGCGTACAGAGTTAGAAACAAAAAAGCGAAACGAAACAATCCACCGACGAAACAATCTACCGAACTGCTACTCAACTTCGTCAACTTCTTTTACCATTCCTCTTGAATCTCCTTCTCCCCTTCCCAATTAATCTCTTCTGAATCTCCACTTGACTCATTTTCCCAACTTTTCTCCGAGTTTTCTACTGGTCCCATGGGAAATTCATATTATGCATTTGATTCCGAATCTATCATTGACTTAGAAGCCCTATCTCCCGATCCTTTATTCTCCAATGACAGAAAATCCTTGTTTCCAAATGTTGACATAGATTTTCCTGAATTATTTTATCTCTCAACTCCTCCTCCAGAACAAATTCAAGCCTACTCTCTTCCTTAATTTTCTATTATATACACACATACATATTAATATTATTAATTAAATAATGTTATATTAATATTATTAATATAATAATAATAATTAAATAATGTAATAATAATGTAATAATAATTAATTAAATAATGTAATATTAATATTATTAATTAAATAATGTCAATTTTTTGTTTTCATTAATTTAAGTTTATTCCCAAACATATTTTGTAATGTATTACCGGGTAGGATCATCGCTTAGTACACTCTTCACACTCACACCTCTCTACTTGAAATCTTACCTGATGGCCACCGAACGATTGTAATATCCGCGATAACATACACGCATATTACTCACCCACATCATTTCTCTTATTTCTCAAAAGGAAACATGTACAACATTAACCATATTAAACATTTAATTTAATTTTAAATTCTCTTTATTCTTTTTAAAAACCCCTCGTCTTATTCCTCCCATCCCACTGATCGCACGAGTCTAATAGGAATTAAGTTTCTTGACTAGAAAATGACCGACCACCGCACGTCTATGAAATAGCGTCATAACGTTCTCGCATTGCTAACCTAGGGTGCATTCCTTTATTCACTCCGAGTACTACGAATAGCGTTCCGATATAGAGAGTAGTGCACTCCAAAATTACTGCCTTGAATTCTATGACGTCATTGATCTTGACGTACTTCCTGTTGCGGTTATTGCAACCAGCGAGGTAAAGCAATTAGAGCACAAAAATGGCTGCTTCCATGGAGACTGAAATAATGATTGATGCTGAAGAAAATAAAGCGTATAATATAAAATAATATAATATAATGAAATTATGATATTATATAATATTATGAATTATTTATTATTATTAATTTTTTTATTATTGTTATTATTAATATTAATATTATTATTAATTTTTTTTATTATTTATTATTTATTTTTTATTATTAATTATTTTATATTATATTTAATATATATAATAAAATTATATTTTTTTAATGTTACATATACCAACCATTTTCAGTTGGAGCTTGAAAACGTATTGCAACTACGTTCCGTTTTATAATTTTAAAGCAGTTAGAAAGTAATTTTAAAGCAGTTAGAAAGTACGAAACTAAAACGCAACGATACACTTCCATTACGTCATAGCATGAGTACTCGGAGTGAATAAAAGAACGCACCCCTAGTGCCAAGACTTCCCTAATAGCACGTGATATCATTTGAATATTCTACATTCGTACTGAAAGTACTGTGGTCATACGTACTATTGCCTAATATACTAGAGAACATTCATATAACATCTTGATAGTATATCATTTCTCATATATTCTTAAGCTCATCTTCAGAATATATCGAATACTCTAGCAGCACATGATACAAATATTCTGTATTTATACTAAATGTACTGTGATCATACTGAATATGCTAAGATTATTCGGTATATAAAATCTATGTATCCCAAGTAGCAAGATGACGTCATTGTGACGATGATTTAAGGTCATTTTTTGTCAGTGTATTAAAAAACGACGTAAAATAAACGTAACATTTTCACGAAATATTATAATAAATATATTGTCATTTAATCGTCATTTTTAAATCATTTTTAATGAATAAATAATGAAATAACATTATTAATTACTATCTTTCTTAATTAACTATAATATATAAATAAGAAA